TAATCTGCAAAGACGAGCGCAAAAGGTGACACGAATTCAAAGCGAGATTTCCCCGTATCGGACTACCTGCGACGATTCGGCAACCTTATCGATCGCGCGTATTCACGCTCGACCCCGTCAGAACAGACGCCGTGAGTTAGACGACGAGTTAGGTGGGACATCTTCGCGACGTCTAATTACTCTGCAGAAGTTAAAAAGGGTACGAGCGATGATCGAAGCCCTTTGTCGAGCGACTAACGAAGCATCAAGCGGCCATTTCTTACCATCCAAGTCTGATCCGGATAAATATTCATAGGAGACAGAGCGGTATCGACGGCGAGACGACGACTCTCGCGCCGCTCTCTTTTCGTTTATTAATTATTTTCTTTCCTCCCACTCCCCTCTCATTCTTTCTCTTTCTCTCTCTCTCTCTCTCTCTCTCTCTCCCTCTCTGCGACGTCCTTTCCCCGAAGAGATGCGCATACATATATGCATACGCGTGTGGCGCAGTACGTGGGCGAAAAATCCGAAAAAAAGCCCCCGGGAGAAGAGAGCAACGCGGCCGATCGCATATTGTAATGTTGCCGGACCGATTAACATAATATCTCTGCTTCGTATTCAAAACGGGCCACCGCCGCGGCCTGGATAATGGTACTCCCGATCCGTGTTTATACTAATGCTAGGTTTCCTGAGACGAGCTCTAAGATCATAATGAGGCTTCGATCGAATTAGGCAGGAGGGTGTCTCTCGACGCGCTCCCTCTCGATTCCGTTCCGCCGATGCTTCTTCTTTTTGTCCGGCTTGTGTCGATTCCTCGTGGGTACCATGATATTCCTTTACAGCGACGCATTATTAAAACAAAAGGGAGAAGCGAGAAGGGGATGAGGGAGCGAGAAAGGCGAAACCTCTGTCCTTCATTCGATCCTCTTGGTATTTCATGAGTCTCGAGGGACACGCTTGTCCTGTCGATGGATTCAGCCAGATTGGTTTTGATGAGAGAAAGTTTCGATACATTGATTGCAATGTTTCTTTCAATTTGTTGCAAACTGTTCGACTGAAATGTCGCGAGTTAATAATGCGCGATGTGTGTAATATTGACATATTTTGGACGGATTTTCATTTTAATTCGATTTGACGTCCAACTCCAAGCTGTGCAGATCTCTCTCTCTCTCTCTCTCTCTCTCTCTCTCTCTTGAGTCACACGAAATTCGTCGATTGATCAATTATTCGAAAAACGATGCAGTGGAAAGGTAACTTCTTATCCGGGGAAAATCAACAGTTTTCCCGCGGAACGAGCTTAAAATCTCCCCCTCGTCGGTCGGAGAAGTGCCATTAGCGGTGGTGACGGTTAGCGAAGCTTTAGAAGCTCTAGCTTCTCCCACGCCGCATCGTCGCGCTTTCGAGTACATCGGTCGTCACTCGTTGTTCTCTCATTGTCAATGACGTTCGTAATATTGCATCCGTTCCCTTCATCGCCGCCTCACCCCTCGTCGGGGGTTGACTGAATCGCTGCCTTTTAATCCTAAGTGCGGAACAATGCCGTTGGATTCTCGCGATGACAAATGCAAACTTTTCTCCGAACTCTCGAAACTCTCTTATTAAACGTCGTCGGAAACAAAGCATTTCTCTCTTTTGCTCTCTTTTCACGTTACTCTCCCTCTCCTCTGATTTTTATTTTTCTATTTCTCAGTTATATAATCGTGAACCAGATTGCATTAGTTTTGCATATTACGCCAGGATTTTAGCAGAAACGACACGCGGCGGTAGCCGATATCGCTGTGCTGTGGACTGAGGTACTCGAGTACCGCCAGTTCCATCTGGTATTCGAGTGTTTCTCGGATATTCTCGAGTACTCGAGTACCGTGATTAAGTGCATGTACATGGTATCTTGAAGGAAGAGATACGACACCAGCCAGTGTGAGAATCAATAACACATGGCGCTCGGATATTTCCCGAGTACAAACGCGATCGCTGGACCCAAGCACGCAAATACTCGATTATTCCGGGCAGTACCGGTTCAAATTGGCGGCACTAATCTCTGCCACGGGAGGATGCGTTCGTCGAATTCGACGCAACTTTCCTCGACGTATGCGCGGACAAAAACGCTAGTGCGCGCGGTAATAGCGCCATGCGCCTTTTACATCGTCTCGAATAGCACGCGTGCGATGCAAAGTCAGCGCTTGGTCGTTTACGTCGTACAGTCGGCATAAAGCGCAAGCCGACGGCACGATCCGGACCAAAATTCGGGATTAATGCGTTTTTAATAGTGACATAACTGCGCCGCCCGTTCGCCGGCGCTTTTTTCCTGGCGCGCATTCCGCGGAAAGCCCGAAACTACATGGCGCCGGCAGAGTGGATTTTTAACGATCCCCGAAAAGGGATGCGGGATAAAGGCAGAAAATCGCGTGCATACGTTGCAGCCTGGAATGCTCCACTTCTTGCGATGCGCACGGAAACCGGAGAGCACGGGACACGCATTCTACCGGTTACGTTGCTGGCTGCCGACGATTTAAGAGCGAAGAGAAATCTTGATGCACCAGCGACTGCGCACTCTGTTTGTCGCGAGAAGACATTTCTGTTCGGTCACTTCGTGAAAGCATCTCTCCCCCTTCGCGTATCGTTAACTGCAACAAGCATAAGGGTTTTCAAAATTTAGTGTATTATTACGTATATATTAAGGAGAGATACGATGAATCTCCCTGTCTTGTTACATTTTGTCTCGAGTCTTTCTGTTTGCCGCCATTTTGCGATGAAGCCGAAGCTCTTTCGTTGCATTAAGCTCTCTCTCTCTCTTTCTCTCTCTCTCTCTCTCTCCTCTCCCTCTTTCCCACTCTCCCCGTGTCCCTTTTCTTTCGTTTTTTCGCGGTCCGTTTCGTCGTCCTAATCATTGTTATTACGGGAGGTCGCCTCGTTCGCACACGCGCTTTTTCTCCCTTGCTCATCCCCGTGCATCCCTCCTGCGCACGGTCTTCTCCACCCTTGGCGATAGATTTCGGTCAAGCCAATTACATTTTTTCCTTGGCCGTGGAAAGAATAAAACCATGATACTCGCCGGTATCGCGCCGCTCCCCAACTGCCCCGAACAACATCGGCCGACCTCAGAAACCCCAGGAACGATCTCGCAAAATTCGTAGGCGCGACAGACGCGCCTAATGCCAATAATCATGGTGGCGGATCATCATCTCGTGATTTTCGTAGTATCGTATTCTAATTCCCGCGCATCGTCTCAAGCCCTCACGGGATTACGTGGAAAAATATCGGCGCCGCCGAATTTCTACCTTAATTAATGCGCGCTCCTTAACATAATCTCTCTCTCGTTGGAAATAGCAACTTCTCTTCCAAGTCACATGAAGATTAAAGAGGCCGAACGAGAGTCTGACGTAAGAGGCATCATCATCTGATTGAGTACTATGACGATTAGAAGCAGCGATGATAAACAGTGCAAGAACTTGCACTTGATTAGGGGACATGCACCATCGAATCCCGTGAAGCGAAAGGTCAAGCAAACATGCGTTCTCATTAAGAGATCATCGTACGAGGCCATAATCGACAAAAATCTAGGTAGCCATAGCGTATCATCAGGGCAGCTCCGGACCAATCAGGAATCACGAAGTCGTCGTGCTTCACACGCGAATCTCGTTACTCTCCGATTACGAGGTCTAACGAGTGCGTCACGGCGTCCTCTTTCGATCTCGAAGACAGCTGGCCGGCCGGCGTAGAAGAGGGCCTCGTCGTCAATTTTCTGCCTGACAGATCCGCGAATCCGCGTCGCCGATCCGCTTCCCTCGATCTAAGGTCCTCCACCCGCGCCCGCCGACCTCGCCGGCTTTCCTTCCACTCTCCGTCCTCGTAGTGTGTTTCCCTTACTCCTCCGGGCCCAGTAATTGATATTATTATGGGCCGGAGAGGCCCTCCCATTACGTTATAAATGTTACACGGGTCGATTACCGTTCTTTGTTCCGGACATGCTTACATTGTCCGCGAACAATGCTGGACCCCCCTTCCTCCGTCACCTCCTGTTCCTTGGGCCTGGTGCATCGTACGTGAAGGAGGAAGAGAACGAGGCAGAGAAGAGAGTTAACCCCTCGGTTTAACCTGCGAGATATCAAGGTATCGGTATCGCGCTCTTTTCTCGGCACGATCACAGTGCCGTCTTCGCCCCGTGACCACCCTTGGCGAGAAAATGTGATATTTATTTATACTTGCGGTGAAAGTGGAATACCTTCGGGGAGAGTGGGGTATTCAGCAGATCAATGGTGAAAATGATACTGATTTATAATTTATAATTACTCTCGTCTACTCTCTGCAATCATGGTCAGGTCCAAAGAGCTTAGACGGTTTTCCCGTCTAATACGCTTCTGAACTAAAGTCATACATACAAGAAGTTGAAGACATTAAAGACTTCACTAAAGACCTCACTTTTCTTTTATTTCTCGAGGGGGGGGAGGGGGTTGCTAATGCAATCTTATTGACCGACTGCAACTTTGGTTGGCGACATACGAATATACTGGATTATGAACTTCGCCCTATCAACATCTTATCTTGGAAGTTCTTCGCATAAAATAGCTCAAGAACAGTCTGAGTTGAACCTTGAATAGCGGGAAAATTGCAAGTAGCAACCGGTATAAACTGAATATTTTTCACACCTGAAGACTTTTATCCGAGTACTTATCCCGATACCTGCCCGAGTACCCATCCGACTACGACCTATTCACCTGCGTACTTGCCGACTGATTGCCTGAGTACTTGCTTGATTTATCTACCCAATTACCTACCCTACCTTGATATGTTTGTTTATCGCGCCGTTTTGGTGATAGAATTTGGTAATAGAATTACAAAGGTATTTTCCTCAATCGCGTGGGGAATAATTGCAGCTGCGATTCGGGTCGACGGGTCGTGGCCAAACAAGCAGATGCTCGTAAAAGGAGCATACAAGTCACAACAATGCCGCGGCAAGGCCGAAAACACGCTGTAGTGGACCCAAACCCCTTCGATTTTTAATTCAGTCCCTCTTCTCGTAGCGTTTTGTTTAATGGGGAAGGCGGTAACCGCGCACAGACCTGCCGACCAATGGCAGACCGGCTGGAAATCATACACGGGATCGCCGGCCGTGCGGAGGCCTCCGAGAGTGGAAGTGAGGTAAGGTTAGACGAAGTTGTGCTCGCTCCCCGCGTATCCTTAACTTTCGACGGGCCTGTCCCGGCACGGCATTGCTCTCACAAGAGGTGGGGCTCCCTCTCTTCGATCGGCGTTAGGTATTTCTTCTCCTTCTTCCACCAACTTCTTTGCCTCCCCCTTTTCCTGAACCTGGCTTTATTTCTGATCCTTCTCTTGTAAACGTATGTCTTCGAGCTCGTCGTCTTTCTCGCACTTGATTAAATTCGCGTTCTGGATTAATATTTATGGCTTTATGGCTATATGGTTTGTGCTAAAGAACGTACGCGAAGTGAGAATTATTGTTTCGATAATAGCACGTTTAAGCCTGAATAATGTCTTGATAATGGCACGTTAATTGTTTATAAACAAAGAAAGAAACATGCACGTTATAAGGATTAAGAGATAGAGACAAAAAAACTGGAAACTCTTATATTATTCAAGCAACATATTATCATAAAAAAGGAAAAAAGACATCTTTGGATTTTGCACGAATTTATAAAGAAAAAGTCAAATGTCAATTCGCGTTGATCCTCATAATTGTAAACAATTGATAATTGCTATTAGTGCTATCAGTGTCTAAATAGACGAATAGTAATCGAGAATTTGAACATCAGGTTGGTATTCAGGGCAAATTGGGCTGATACTCAAGTAAACATCCAAACAAATAACCAGGCAAGTAGCTGGGCAAGTACTCAGATGCTCAAACCAAACATCAAGCATTCAGGCAAATAGGTTTTAAGGTAACTAAAACCTACAAGGTTCGATAGTTAGGTTCATACCAAACCAAACCAAACCAAAACCCAGGTAAATGGTTTGGCAATACTCAGGAAATATATAGTTGGATAAGTATTCGAACTAGTACCCACGTAGACATTTAAATGTATAGTTGGATAGATTACTCATGAAAATACCTAAATAAGTATTCAGGTAGGTATTTAGGTATAAGAATTATTTGGTTCACAGAGACAGCACTGGCTGCTGTTAGCGAGTTTCTTGGTCCTCAAGGAGACCCTCCACTTCTCTCACACACTCCGTCGTTTTTCCGTGATAAACTGCGAAACATTTTTGTCCGATATTGAAGAATACGACTAAACTAGACAATTAAAACGGTCACATGGAAACATCAATGGCCAATGAACCAATCGTTGGTGTCGCTCGGGACTTAACGTTTAAACGATCGATCGACAGAAACTAACCGAGCCTCCATTCGCTAATCCGTTCATGAAGCAATTTCTGACTATAGGATAATCGCGGCAGACATGTACGATAAAAAGGGGTTTCCTCCGCGAGGGTGATATACGACCGCCTTTTTAGCGCGCAACTGAGTAGAACGCTGTCAGTTATAATCGTGCCGCACATTGGAATTACACACACGACATCACTCGCAAGTTACACGCTTCGATCAAAAGTCATTTCTGATGTAGCGCAGTGGAACTGAGACCGACCGTACCAACAGCCATTAAACTTGGAATGCGTTCTCGGTGCATTCCAAGACAGTTATATTTGATGAGTAATTATCAGCTCAAATCCAGCAATACTCTATTGTGATAGTCTCGCATTTGATTCGCAGTTGACTCCACATCTTGAATATGAACTCAGCAACTTGGATTGTTCAGTTACATATACACACGCAGCTACTTCATTGCACGAAAATTAAATAAAAAAAAGTGATACCAGCAAAATAATGATGTCACCACAATCGTTAAAGATTTAGCACGTAGTTGTCGACTGCCGATTGATGCCCGGCAATACGTTCATCGGCAATTTCTTGCCAATATGGACAATACAAAATTGCGTATACCGCGACGTAAGCAAGAGGGATAATGTCAGATTTTTACCGCAGATCGCGTGATTTGCGTACTCAGTAAGCAACAATCACGTGACAATGCGTTGCTCGCGTGCTCCATCTCCGCGGTTCGATCCAGTCGCAGTTCGATGGAAAGTCGCAATTTCGCCCGGTCTATCATCGACTTTAATTATCAATTGCGCACGCGGGTAAAACCGTGTTTTTCATTAACTCCTCGCTGGTATCATGTCGAATTGGCGATTTATCGCTTCCACATAATTGCGGAATCATAAGCGTCGCCGTCGCGCTGCTGCGGAGAGCGCCCTTATCGGGCGGCGTGCTTCCGTAACTTATGCGGGAAGCCTCAATCACAAATTAAACTGAGAAAGTGTTGTCATTGCTCGCTATCGGGACATGCAATTAATGCAAATTAAGGATCGATCCGGCGTAATTGTTAAATTAGGGGGCGTCAATTCATCACGCGTTTATTCATTAACACGCGGCCGAGTAGCTAACTAATAAACTCCACAGACAGTGTTTGTTTAATTATTAAAGTGCCCTCTTTGCGTGTCGTTCCACCGCTAAAACATTCTAACCGCGATTCTCATCGGAGGAATAAAGTAGCGCGTTTATCAGCGGTCATTATAAATCTAAAAACGGCGATGTCGCGCACATTGTAAAGACACGCATGCAGTGAGGTCGAGCTCCTCGCAGGTTTCAATTACTTCGCCGTGGAATCTTTTTTCTATTTTCTGTTTTCTTGTCTCTATTTTTTTTTGGGGGGGGGGAGGAGGAGGAGCGGACAGAACAGAGGTATAGCACACGCACACAGGTAGGACGTCTCGGCCTCGGTGTCTCAGCGAAAGACGCGAGAGACGTCGTGTGAGCGAGTACTGGAAATTAGCATTGCCGCCATTGATGCGCCTGCTTCTGCTGCCCCTTTGTCGATTCTTGCATGTATTGATCGATGCCACCGTAATTTTCGTATCGCGTGCCACATCACCTGCCACCTTTCCTTCCAGGGCAAACCATATCGGCTCGGACATTTTTCCCTCAAAGTCGCATTTTCTTTTTGCCGCGCGGCCGGCACGAGAGCCTCCGAGCGCGCTCGCGCTCGCGCTCACGTTCGGGCGCGTTGCGCGTACGATAATTTTCTCCCGTGGATGTAAGACCGTTTTTTTCCGAAACCACTAATTCCGCGATCTGATTAATTGCCCTGCGCCTCAGAGATAAAGAAATTATGGGGGGGGAGAAATTGCGCATGACCGCGGCTTAATTGCTGCGCTGAGTGCGTAGCACGGGATATTGGGATGGTATATGAAAAAATGAATGGTGTTTTTAAATATGTATATGTATTGTATATATATATATATATATATATTGCATAAAAATATATACTTACACGAGAAAACATTCGTGGGAGATAGATACACTTTCAATAGGAATGTACAAGTCAATTTCATCCCGGCCAGATAGCTTGTATTCAAATTTCATATCCGCCATAATCGCAATGCGGATCAAGACTTTCATGTGGTTGTATATCTTTCCTTAAATCAGCTATCCTGCCTACGACCACCATCATCCGCAACTTCTTTTCACCTTCCTCATGTTTTGTGCCCGCTCTTGTTGGGACTGGGCGTGCGCAGCGGCAACATCATAATCACGTTTCCGTGTTCTTTTATGTTGCAGGTGCAACACGAGACAAAAAGAAAAGGACAGGATGGAAACCTTGAACCAATCGTAAATGGTGGCGGAGTGAAAGCGGTCACTACGGTTTTCCCAGAAGAGCGCAAGTCACGAAAAAATCCAGTTGAAGCTCGCTCCTTTTGCGATAAATAAACAGACCTTCGGCAGTCAGGTAGCGATCTGTATTCACGAAGAGTGAAGAGCGTAATCTCACGTTATCTAATCGTTTGACTAGATAAATATAGTAGTCCCTTCGTCTCTTGCATCATCTCTCGTTTGCGAATATTTTACCTTTCGTCATACCAGCGTCATTTTTGCAAGACCTGTTTAGGTTAACTCTTCTGTCTCATCGTGAGTGCAAACTATCTAAATAGAAAGGAGAAAAATCGGTCGCATGAGACGCTTCGAAGGGAAACTGCAGACAACACGTGACGCTTTCGTTCGAGACGAGATAACACGGTGACACTATGCGGACAATACTCCGTGACTCGCACGATTATACACGAGCACAGCTTAATCACCGTAATAGGGCGAGCATAATGGCTGATACGATCTGTATTTGCTTGTTAGATTCGAGCTATACCTTCCTCTCTCCCTCAGCCACGTACGGAAGAACGTGCTTCGTCTTGTTTATCCGTGTGCAAATAAAAATTACGCTATGTGTTTGCTTTGCGCGCTTAAATAGCGATCTTGTGTGAACGTTTTTGTACCATGATACGTTACAACAATGAAGCGACATGAATTAAACGCTATATTTAGCACAGGTATACATTCACATGTTTACTCCTTCATTTCTTTTTATTCCCGTTATTCGTAAGGATTGGCACTCAACACTCAGAAATTCCACATATTATGTCGATAACGTATCGTTCTCAATATGCATAATAATAAGATTTCTCGCAGATTTCAGGCAGAAATCGGATCTCGAAGGAGTTCCATAAGAATTTAGCTTCTCCTAATACTTTTTTAATATTCACTTCTTTGTATTTTACGGCATATTTGTATCATGAGATAATAATTTTCTGTATAGACATCGGAAGCCACGGCAAAGTATTACGCGTTGCATCAGACTGAGAAGACTGTATGGTACCGAGGGCGTATGCACGCGTAGGTTTCGATTCCAAGGCGCCTGAATTCCGCGGGCACGTCGCCGTCTAATTGAGTCATCGTGTCATTAATCGCGTAATAATCGAGCTTCGCAAGTAACCCTCGATTGGCCTCGATGGTGGTGGATCAGAGTCGCGGAACAGACAACGCGGGGCCGAGGATCGTACGTAGATCGATGTCCAATTAGATCCAATTACACGCACGGATAATCGACGACGGTCGGTGGTGAAAGAAAGATTATTCGTCGAAGCGAGGCGGTACGTTCACGGGCGACAGGTTTTGCAAGACCGCTCGCGTCGACGGAACAAAGACAAGACAATCGCCCAATAAAAGGTGTTAATCGAGCGGCTCTTGCGAAATTTACGGCTGTTCATATCTCGTCGATGCAGCAATTATCAAGTAGTTGAACAGCCAAGTGTGTCTTGCGTCGGAGTGATGCGTTAAATTACGTGAAAATTTACTTACGTTTTGCGATGTAAATTTCACGAAGTGGTGGTACTGCCAGCATAAACCGAATACTTTCTGTATACCGGCAGATTCAAGTCCGCCCAGTATCGTCTGCAGGTACTCAAATAATACTCGAAATGTTCAAGTGAGAACCATTTGTCATCTGTTATCGATTTCTGCAGCAGCTAATTCTGCTTCTCGGTCTCTCAAGATACGACCGACACTAATCATAGTACTCGAATGATTTGCAAAACTTTCGAATACCGAAAGGGAGGTACGCGGTGAAAAAGAAGGCCTCAGAATACCGCCGCAGAATTTTCGCAGATTTTTACCAAATCTTGCGCATATTCCTTCCCTCTGAATCGACTTACAGTTTCGTATTGATCACTCAGCGCGGAATCCACCGATGGCGCCGTGCATGTCTCTGCGACGAGTTGTGTACCAGAATCTGACTGGCCTGAGCGAATTCCCTCTCGATCTGGCATCCGAGCGATGGCAAAACTTTGCACCAGCGGCAACGGCACATCGCGTGTCGCCGAAATATTCTGGGAATATGCTAATTACCAGTTAGTCAGTTTCTTGTGGCACTGCGCCCATTTCTACGATCGCCGGTGCCCCCTTTTCGCTGCCGCCCGTTCTCGTTCCTTCGCTCTACCACAGCTCGTGGCTTCCCTCGATATTGCCGCTCTTTGTTCACCGCAATCCCGAGCAGTCGCGCTTCGTTAAACATGCGATGGATCGCTCTCCTCTTCCGTTACCTCTGACTTTTGTTCTCTCTGGCGACACTGTTTACCGAAAGACTGATCACGTCCGCGTCTTACTCGCGAGCCAGTTCCCCGTCGTTACCACCTTAACGTCCGGCAGAAAGGCCTGGCAGGCTTCAGCACCCGGCTTAAATCCGAGAAAGTGGATGGATCGCGCATGAGCGAAGCGCGATCCACAGGGTGTAGGATCTATCGCGTGTAAACGCAGGCATATTCAATTAATGCAGAGCGGATGTTGTACAGCGCGAGGCGATACAAGCGCAAGGGACGCGCTTCTCATTCTCATAACAGGAGAGCGGCCGTGTACGCGGTGGAGTTAATTAATGGGAGCGAGAATAGAGAACGTGGAGGGCCGCGGTGTACGTACAGCCGAGAAGTAAGTCACTGCGTCGGCAGGGTGTGGACTCGCAAGTGAGCTCGGCGACTAAGAGTGCTCGCGGACTGGACGTGGATGATCTTACGTATTGGAGGATCTTACAGCTACGACGAGTACGGAACTACGCGTTTGACGATCGGCGTGTAGGCCATCCGGAAACAAAGACACAGCGCCATTATCGGCCAGAAACGCAGCGCGAGCCGGCCAAAGTCCCATCGCCGCCGCGGAGTTCCAGGTACAGCAGTATGTTGTTTTATGGTGCAATCGTCGGCACGGTAATAATCATTAAATCCGTGGCTGGGCGAAGCTGAGCGGAGCCGTGGGCCTGGACATTCTCTCTTCGACTATCTCTCGTCCTTAATGTGACATTATTCGACGAATTTGTTCTACGATTGTTTACGCGCCTCTAGCACGTCGGTGAGTTCATCGGCCTCGTTCAGAATTCACCGCAGAATTCACGGCAGAGGCCGCACGCTCTCTCGTTCACGCGAGTCAGAGGTAATCAAAAATAATGAGACGGAAGAGGTGTTAATATTAACAAATTTCTTTGATAGTAGCGGCGATAAAATCCATTGGTCGCTCGTCATTGTGGCTCGTCATGATAATTCCTGAAGAATCTCCTCTTCCACTGCGCCAATTAAAAGCCATTGACCTGCTTCGCTGGAATTTGCAAACTTATTGAGAAATCCCTCTACCGCGGGCGGAGCGTATTACCAGCTATTTCAGCAGCTCTGGCTTCACCTTTCGCTCGTACTGGAAGAAAACGAGATCGGGTGAGAAAGAGGCTGGCGAGGCGACGGCAAAGAGGGTGAGAAGATCGCTCGAAAGAGTTTGTTATCCGCGACGACGTCGCGGCGGTTAGTTAGCCGGTTATGGTGGGTATAATTGCGGTTTACTGTCTCAATAAATATATACGATGCACACACCGCTCTCTCGGGGATCAAGCTGAATGGCGAGGCCTTCCGAGGATTTGAAATCAAGCGACGCGTATATGCGCCCTACCGGCGGAGTTTTATAGTCGCTGCTTAATATGGTTTATGGTGTTTCGTCCTGCTTGCGCCGGCCTGCCGCGGAACTGGAAGGCTCCTAATGATCCGCTCAGGACGTCGCAGATGACTCCCAGGGATGTTGAAGACCCGGTTAGACTCGGTAACAAGGTCTTGTTACACTGCTTTTTTGCAAAATACATAAAGTGCAACCTAGATGTCACGCACTTTGTTTCTTGATGAAAGGTAGGAGATAAGAAATCGGTGTTGTCACATCAACTTTTATCTGAGAGTAACTTTGTCTTTGCTGAATCCACTCGAAGATACGCTTAAGATACGCGCACAATAAAATATTTGTATCGATTAATATTATTGGTTCTTGTAAAATGAACGTTCGATAATAATTCCGCTCATGCTAACTGAATGATCGTAATGGCTTGACCGCATTGGTATAAATAAATTGCAGATAATACACTGCTCGATAATAGGCGGAATGTTAATGGTTCATTTTTTCTGATCTATCGCGCATGCGATACGAAGAAGGACATACGCAACGTATCTTATCACCATATACCAATTACAGGTCTAAGTTTGTCGCTGTAAGTGCACAACGAGCGCAACATTGTGCCACTATCACACATGGTGGTAATTCGTATGCAAATTGCTAATAACAATTTTATCTTAAGCACACACACATACACATACGCACACGAAAGGTCAAAGAATAAAATAATATCGTACGTAAAATCGTCTTAACATGCGAATATTAAGAAATAAATTACGATAGATCGCGCGAGCCAATTGCATCAAATGCTTTACGCTCGATCGATAGATCGTGTATAATAAAATACGGTTAAGCATACCGCGGCATTAGCAATCTTCCTATAAAGTCGCGCAACATATCACATGTATAAATCTAAAATGCACTCTGGAGATGTGTATAATTTGCTTATCGCGTACTTTTGTCCTCTTGCTGAAATTCCATTCTTGCTTCATGCGCTCAATTAAATTACGCCGCACTAGCGATTTAAAATAAGAACCATGAGCGAGAATAATAAGACGCGTATGATCCGGGCAACGTAAAAATTATACAATGCGCCGGAGAATTGATACGTACGACAGCGTTCGTACGCAATATCGTTATCGATAGTGTCAAAACGTTGCCCGTGTTTACGGCTAATTTATGGCTAAAATTAACGACAAGGACAGCCTAATCGGCTCGTATTACGCACGGCCGTATAAGCGGCGTTAAGCGAATAGCCTCGATTCAGCGGTGTATTATCGGCACTGTAATTTTAATATACTAACATTTCCAAAAGATACCCGTAACCAGTAGGTTCTACAATAAGTTACTTGTAGTGAGAACTCCACAATAAGGTAACTGCAGTATTCGCGGTTATTTGTTGCATTTTCGATAAACGCGCGTTAAACCCCCCGCCGGTTGAAGCTCACGACGCATTAACTGGCGTGGCATGCGTTAATTCCGCGTCACTGCGAAAGTGCGAGGACTCTAACAGTTTTATGATTTATTTTATGTTCTTATAGTTGTATAACTCGCCGGTTGAGTATTATTATGACCGGTACGATTAGCAGCGACTGTTTAGCATGCGCCGGGATTTAATAATTATTATACCGTCGTGCAATATTCAACAGACAGGTTAGTAGTTTGCGGGTCAGCGGCCATTACTTTGAAGAAACTGTCACGCTACGTCTAATAGTTTGTTTAACGTTAATTTGCAATACATATAATTGTACCATTTAATAAATGTACGTCAGTCTCTCTTTCTCGTCACAACTCCGACTTCCGTTGCTGTGTAATTTCGCCAACGACGATTATGTTTGTCCTCGCGGTTTAAGAAGATGCTTCGTGTCGAGTTTTCCCGTTGCGACACTTCAGCCGATATCGTGTAGTCGCGGCGTTTGTTGACTTTAAATTTGCGATAAATAAATAATCTCTTTTTCTACGTAAACAGCCAAAGAGACATTCGACGCAGGATTTAGAACACGAGTTTTCGCTTCCTCGCTTTCTCGTCCCAGCAATATTTTGCACTTCTAGTCGTCGTTTCGTAATATGTTTCCTG